ACCATATCGTTACCTTTTTGTACAGAAATTTGGAGGAGGGGATGAAAACAAAGCATTTGCTGTATTTTGATCTTGAGGGATAAAGGAAAACAAGCATGCTAGCCAAAAGATAAGAGTTTTGATTAATAAACCGTATTTCCATTGTAAAAACTGCTCTGTTGTATGTAAAATTTAAAAAATAAACCACTTATTTAATATTTAAAACAGCTATTTTAGAAGTTTCTAATTTACTAATGCTATTTTTTTGAGCAATTTCATTAGGAACACACATTTTAAAACAGATTATGACATCTACGTTTTGGATCTTGTCAAATATTTGAGAGGAGAGGTATTGTGAGAGAACTGTCCATTAATTTTCCAAAGGAGAAAACCCCACACTTTGTGTTCTGGAAGATGAAGAGTGCGACTGACTTCATTTGAGACTTGAGAACCTTCTCAGTTTGGTATCAATTTGGTAACAATTTAGGATCATGCTTCCAAGGCTGTAAAAATTCAGATGGTAAAGCATTTCATTTTAGTTTGATCATTTAAAAAAGTATTGCTAGATGTGAGAAAAGTCATTTTGTTATCCAAATATTATGCCTATGTTATCCTTTTAAATTTGTTTTGAGACTTTGGACTATAATGTTTCAAAAACACAGGATGGAAGGCTTCTAAAATCATCTTAAATTTCAAATAGTCTTTTGACTTGATGCCTAACAATAGAATAACTATTTTTGCATATGTGTAAAGTGCTATTCTTTACTATTTCCTAAAATGTAATTATATATATTTTCCAATTTAATTAGTGCCCCAAATAAAAGTAGATTTTTTATCACTCAAAATAAATATTTGTTTTAAATAGAAAAGACATTCGTCAAGGTGGATATCTAAAGTGGAAATTTTCCCTGTTCATAGACCTGTGATATAGTGTGCATACACTGTAAAATGTACAGCAATATTAAATTTATAACTTAGGCTCAGTATTTTTTAGAAAGAATGTTTACTAGTAGGCCTTTATTTCATTGTTGCTTTATGTGAAACCAGTGAACCGTAGTTTTGTTTGCTTCTCTTGATTCAGTTTTTCATATCTGTGTTAAGCTAGTATTAAATTTATCAAATACCATGCAAGTTTATTACAAATAGTTTATACCAATATTTTAGATTATATACAGTTTATATGTGAATATATATGTATTTATACCTGTATACAAATTACCGATACTGTGTAGGGAATTTAGATAAGCTAAAACTTTGGCTCTACTTACTCTACCTGAGTCTTGGGACAGGCTAGAGTCAAATTGCTTGAGGTCCACATACACAAAAAATCTACTAGACCTAATAAATGAATTCAGCAATATTATAAAATACAAGATCAATATACAAAAATCAGTTCTTTCCATACACTAACAATAAACAGTCTGACAATGAAATTAAAACAACTCCATTTATACTAGCACCAAAATTCTTAGAAATAAATTTTAACAAAAGAAATTTAAGACTTGCACACTGAAAACTATAAAACATCATTGGGAAGAATTACAGACAGCCTAAATAAATGAAAAGGAATCCCATGTTCATGGATTGAAAAGCTTAATATTCTTAAAATGATTATATTCCTTGAATTGATAATTCAATTCATACAAATTCAGTGCAATCCTGTCAAAATCCTAGCTGCCCTTTTTCCAGAAATCGACAGGTAGATCCATTTCCAAGGAACCCGGAACAGCCAAGATGATCTTGAAAAAGAATGAGGTTGGAGGATTCACGCTTCCTGATTTCAGAACTTACTACAAAGAAACAGTAACCAAGATAGTGTGGTGCTGTCATAGAGATAAACATATAGATCAATGGAATAGAATTGAGAGTCCAGAAATAAATCCTTACGTTTATGGTTAGTTGGTTTTCCATGGGATCCTGACACAAAATCTCTTCAACAAATGGTGCTGGGACAGATGGATATCCAAAAGCAAAAGAATGAAGTTGAACTACTGCCACACACCATATAACTCAAAGTGGGTGACAGACCTAAACATCAGAACTAGAACTATAAGACTCATAGAAGAAAACAGGAGTAAATCTTTGTGATCTCGGATTAGGCAGTGGTTTCTTGGATATGACACCAAAAGCACAGCAACAGAAGAAAAAATACATTGGACTTGATCACAAATCATAGTTTTTGTGATTCAAAAAACAACATAAAGTGAGAAGACAACCTGCGGATGGGAGAAAATATTGCAAATTATGTATCTGAAAGGAGACTTGTATCTAGAATATATAAAGAATTTTTAAAGCTCAACAATAAAAAGACAGGCCAATTTGAAAGTGGGCAAAGAATTTGAATATTTCTCCAAAGAAGATAGACGAGTGGTCAATAAGCATGTGAAAAGATACTTAACATTATTAGTTATTAGGGAAATGCAAATCAAAACTAATGAGGTGCCACTTCACACTCACTAGGGTGTTGAAACTAAAAGACATATAATAAGTGTTGATGAGGATGTGGAGAAATTGGAACCCTCATATATTGCTGGTGGTAATGTAAAATGGTACAGTGACTTGGGAAAATAGTTCAGCAATTCCTCAAGATGTTAAGTATATAGAGTTTATGGTCTAGTTTGTTGCATGCACTCCTAAGAACGTACCTAGGAGAAATGAAAACATTTGTCCACACAAAAATTTATACATGAATGTTCATAGCACCATTATTCATAGTAGTCAAAAAATGGAAATAATCCAAATATTTATCAACTGGTGAATGATTAAATAAAATGTATTATATCTATGAAATGGAATATTATTCAGGCATAAAAAGGAGTGAAGTACCAATACATCCTACAACATGGGTGAACCCTGAAAATGTGCTAAGTGGAAGAAGCTAGACACAAAAAGCCACATAGTGTATGAGGGGTTCCATTTATATGAAATGTCCAGAATAGGTAAGTCCAATAAAACAGAAAGTAGATTAGTGGGTGCTAATAGCTGAGGGGTGTATACTTTTGGGGTGATAAAATTTTTCTGGAATTAGTGGTGATGATTGCAAAACCCTGTGACTATACCAACAACCCTGAATTGGACTCTTTAAAAGGGTGAGTTTTATGATACATGAATTATATCTCATTAAAGGCCTCTTTTTAAAAAAGGCATTTTCGTTCCAATCTCCCTTTACTTACCTTGGTCTGGGGCCCAATCAGATGACCTATTGTCTTTCTGATGTTTTTGGGGTCTTGAAAGCTAGCTGTCTTTCTTGGTTAATAGAAGCCCAGCAGAGGAGGCATTTTATTTCTGATTGTCTTAACCTCTCAAGTTTTTTCTTATTTAAGTATAAACCAGTTATTTGAGAGGACAAGTCCACTGTAATGAAAGGTACTTGCTTATAAAATGCATGATCGGTGTATAGAATTGATAGCTGTATTAAAGTTCCGAGGCCTGCCAGAAAAAAAAAAAAGATTGCTTGAGACATCTTGACTTAGAATATTAAATGCCTCTTAATGAGTTATACAAAAGTTGTGTTCTATTGTACCTTTAAGCAAAAGTGATTTGGAGTTTGTTTAAGCCAACACTTCTCTTCTAGCCATGGTTTGCTTGTTCTTAAGGAATTCGAATATTAAGTATTCATTACACAGTGTTTATTTGTAGACTCTAGAAACCGGCCATGGCATTTTAGATCATTAAGTTTTGCTTATAAAATCAAATATGGTAGTAACTGCTAAAATGCCTTCATTCAGTCATTCAGAGGATCGTTAGTCTGCTTTCTGAGTGTACAGGATATCAGATAATATTTAAGTAGTCTAGCTTACTAAATATGTATATACTCTCAAGTTGACTTTTAACCCCAAGCATATCCCCCCTTTTTTTAAATGTGAAATGTCTAAGGTTTGAAGAAGGTGACATCTCTTTAATTATTAAAAATTTAGAGCGATGATCATTTTTATTATTTCTTGGGTTATATATATGGAAGCAACACTATTTGAGGTAAGGATGTCTGGAAGAGACTGGAGATGAGGACTGCAGCTCCTGAAAAAGAATTGTAGCCTTTGCAACAACCACAATTATGTTAATCAGGCCAGGGTATCCAAAAGGACTTTGGTCAGAAGCATCCTGAGGGAGCTGGAGGAACCTGTCCTTGGCACACACTTAGGAGAAATTATCAGGGACAGGCCTGAGTATAATACACTCCTGTGGAGTTCAGTTGCCAAGAAGCAGAAGCAGGCGAGACAGCTAGTATACCTGGATCTGATCAGATGTAGTAATTGAAATGATCTGAAAGGGATGCACTGTGCTTAAGACAGTTCTTCCAGGGACGGGCTTGCAGTGTGAGGAGGGGCTTTTGTTAGTAGCCGTGACCAAAGGGTATCTATTCTGGCCAAAAGGGGCTGTGTATCACTAGGGGAGTCCACATATTTGGGGTAGAGGTTACACGTTCCGTTTAGGAGAGCTGTCAGTGTGTTCTAGGGAACTCTGCCCTATCCTAGGGTAGCCTGGGAACTCAGAAGTTTAGAGGGAAGCGGCAGTTTGGTCTCTGCCTGAATCTTTCCACTTCTCCTTTTCCTCCGGAATCGGAGAGTCCTATGAAATAACTGATCCATCCAATGTTTATCATTTTGGGAATAGTATTAAACACACCCATTCGTCGGTATTCAGTTTAATATTTTCACAGATTGGCCTGTTGCTGACTATATGAAGATGAAAAATAATTCAGGGATTCTATTCTGAAGTAATCTCTAATGTAGAATATTAACTGTGCTTGGAGGTTACTGCATTTATTGCATGAGCATGTCAGAATGCTAAAACTAGTTTCTGGGAAAGCACTTGAGAAAGGAGGTAGATTGGAAGTCAACATTAAGATCCTTCCATATTTCAGTATCTCTGAGAATTAATAAGATATGTAAACCTCATTTCCTTCACCAAAACGCACACTTTGTAATATGTAAGCACAGTAACTTTTCCTTAAAATATTTTATGTGACTATCCCCAGTATACTGCCTTTAATGCACTTACCTTTTTATTAATGAGAAAAAGTAGAAGAGAAACTAGCCATTCCCACAAGATCTCCAAATTATAAACATCCTGAATACAATGCTATGTCTTTGATCATTAAAGATAGCTTTTTATTTAGGACTTGTCTTAATGGACTTGCCTACAGCGTACTAAAGAGACATTAGCACCTACTCAGGATTTCCAACATTCAAAGTGATATAGGTTGACATGTAGCTAAGCTATTAACTTGAAAGCATTAATCAGAAGGATTTCCTTTTCTCCTTTTATGGAACTATTGAATATTTTATGGCCTAAATAAAATCTGAATAATGACAGATTTTTATAAGGGCTATATTGATTATATGTGTCTTATTTTGTTTTTGTTCCATGTTTTTTTAAAAAGCAACTATAGTGACACTGAAACCGAAGGAGAGATTTTTAATTCCTTAGTGCAATATTTTGGTGATAATTTGGGGCGAAAAGTTAAAGCTATGCCATTAGTTGAAGAAACTACTTTACTTGAAGATTCATCAGTGTCTTTGCCTGTGGTAGTAATAGGTAAGTTATTCCATTTTATCTCTTAAAATTACAGTTATGATCCTTACTACTTTTATAAATATACAGTTACATAGCACAAGTTCTTAGGATTGTATTGAAAAGTATTCCTAGGTTGTATGATATGTTAAAATAACCAATAACCAAATCTTTGGAGAGAGTAATTGGTTTATCTGATACTAGATTCTCTGTTAGAATGCAATGTCTTTTCATTGAAGGACTAATATTACTCTATTATTTTAAAATATTGTCTATCAGTTGTGTTAATTATAGGACAGTGTCATGGTAAAGATGATAAACAATATTATTAGAGCCCTGTACAGAGCATTCTGTGTACACTATTGGATTATGCCTTACAACCCAACAGCCCTCTGATGTAGGGGTTGACACGGACAGGGAACTCAGAAGTTGAATAACTTGTGCATGTTAGTAACCAGTGCTGTTAGTAATGAACGTTATGGTACTCTGCGGTAAGGTTTATAATTACCTGAACGGTAATATTACTATTATATATCGTTTGTACCACCTCAACAGATAGGCATATAACATATTAAAAATTAAGCTATAAATAAAACCTAATTCAGAATTATAAAAGTTTTTGATTTAGTTTTATTGCATGTAATTACCTGTCATGTATATCCTCCATCTAATATTCAAACTCATGAAATCAAACAAGTCCTATAATATGAAGCCAAGCCGAAGGAAAGAGTTATGAGACATAACCTAATTTGATGGCATACAACTTCCTTAGTTTTGTTTGATAGCCTGTTTCAACGTTGATGGGAATGAGAGAAGAGTCCTGTCCCCTGACTGGTTTATGGGAGATGCGGTGAAGAAAGGGAGGAAGGAAAGGAAGAAAGCAAGATCGTTCTATATTAGATTGCCCTCTAGAGGAGATGACAGGTTTTGCAGTAGTTCTCATCCAGGATATCTCTGGGACCATACCTTGTGTTCCACTTGCCTACTTTGTCCAACCCTGGTTTTCCCTCCTGGATGTCTTGGAACGAGTAAATGCTTGTTTTAGCTGGGCTGTGGAAGGGTCAGAAGAGGAAAAACTACCTTCATCTGTACCTGCCCACTGCACTCGCTCCGAAATAATCTGTTCCTATTTTGCCCCAGCTAGCAATGAGCAGGTTAACCTAATGCATATAGAGCCATTACTGCTGGCAGTAGCACCACCAGTCTGAGCATAGATAAAGAGCTAATTTCCTTAATATATGTATTGGTTTTCTGTTGCTGTCATAACAGATTTCCATAAACCTAGTGGCTTTGAACAACATAAATTTATCTTGCTGTCCTGTAGGTCAGAAGTTCAACACGTGTCTAACTGGGCTAAAATTAAGGTATCAGCAGGGCTGGATTCCTTTCTGGAGGCTCTAGGGTAGAATATTTCCTTGCCTTTTCCAGTTTCTAGAGGCTACTCACATTCCTTGGCTCCTGGACTCCTTCCGCATCTTCAAAGCCAACAGTGTTGTTTCGCTCTTAACCTTTCATAGTCATGTTTCCCCCTTGTCCCAGCTGGGAAAGCTTCTATTTTTAAGGACTTTTGTGATTGGATTGGGCCCACCTGGATAGTCCAGGGTACTCTCCCCATCTCAAGGCCTTTAATTTAATCAAATCTAAAAAGTCCTTTTGCTATGTAAGGTAACACTCTCAGGTTCTTGGGTTTAGGATAGGTACATCTTTGGGAGTGAGGGAGCTTTCTGCCTGCACATTTCTCTGTGAACTGCCTGTTTCTTTGCCTGTTGTCTGTTGAAGGTTGTTTCCTTTTGATTCAAGGAACTTGGCTCTTTGCTTCAGATCCTAACTACCACTGTTTTTCATTTATTTAATATTTATTTTAATTAATAGACTTTATTTTTAGAGCAGTTTAGATCTACAGGACAATTGAGCAGAAAGTACCGAGAGCTCTCATATATGCCCCCCCCAGGTTTCTCCTATTATTAACACCTTGCATTGGTGTAGTACCTTTGTTGTAATTGATGAACCCCTGTTTATACATTATTAACTAAAATCTGTAGTTTACATTAGGGTTTACTCTTTGCATTGTACAGTTCCATGGGTTTTGCTGAATGTATACTGTCTTGTATCCACCGTTACAGTATCATACAGAATAGTTTCACTGCCGCCAAAATCTCTTGTGCTCTACCTATTCATCCTTTCTGTCAACTCTCAACCCCTGGCAACCACTGCTCTTTTGCTGTCTCTAGTTTTGCCTTTTCCAGAAGGGCATATACAGGGAATCATACAGTACATAGCCTTTTCAGACTGGCTTCTTTCACTTAGCAATATGCATTTAAGATTCCTCTATGTTTTTCATGGCTTGATAGCTCATTTCTTTTTATCACTAAATACTGTTCCATTGTATGGATGCTTCACAGTTTGTTTATCCATTCACTTACTGAAGGACATCTTGGTTGCTTCCACTTTTTGATGATTATGAGTAAAACTGCTATAAACATGCATGTGCAGGTTTTTACATGGCCATTAAGTTTTTAACTCATTTGAGTAAATACCTAGGAGTGTGATTGCTAGATTATATGGTAAGACTGTGTTTAGCTTCTTAAGAAACTGTCAAATAGTCCTCCAAAGTGGCTATATCATTTTGCATTCCCAGCAGCTATGAATTAGAGTATCTGTTGCTCCACGTCCTTGTCAGCATTTGATATTGTCTGTGTTTGGATTTTAGCCATTCTGATAGGTGTGTAATGGTATCTCATTGTTTTAATTTGGAATTCTATAATGATATATGAGGTTGAGCATCTTTTCATATGCTTATTTGCCATCCCTGTATCTTTGAGGTGTCTGCTCACATCTTTTGCTTGCTTTTTAATTGATTGGGTTGTTTGTTTTGCTGTGGTTGGTTGAGATTTAAGAGTTCTTTGTAAATGTTAGAAACAAGTATTCTATCAAATACATGTTTTGCAGATATTTTCTTCCAGTCTGTGACTTGTCTTTTCATTCTCTTAACAATGTCTTTTGCAGAGCAGAAATTTTAAATTTTAATGAAGTTCTGCTTATCAGTTTTTTCTTTCATGGATCCTGCCTTTAGTGTTATATCTAAAAACTCTTTACCAAACCCAGGGTCACCTATATTTTCTCCTATGTTATCTTCTAGAAGTTTTATAATTTTGTGTTTCATATTTAGGTCTATGATCTGTTTCAAGTTAATTTTTGTAAAAGATATAAGGTTAGTATCTAGATTCATATTTTTGCACATGGATGTCCAGTTGTTCCAGTACCATTTGTTGAACAGACTATCCTTTCTCCATTGGATTGCCTTTGCTCCTTTGTATTTGTGAGGCTGTATCTCTGGGCTTTCTATTCTGTTCCATTGATTTGCCTATTATTCTTCCATCATTTCCACACTGTCTTCTCGATTGTAGTTTTATAGTAAGACTTAAAGTTGGATGGTGTCAGTCCTCACTTTGTTTTTAAATATTGTGTTGGCTATTCTGAGTCTTTTTGCCTTTCCATTTAAACTTTAGAATCAGTTTGCCAGTGTCCACAAAGTAACTTGCTGGGATTTTTATTTGGGTTGCATTGAATCTGTAGATCAAATTGGGAAGAAGTGACATCTTAACAATATTGAGTCTTCCTATCCATGAACATGGAATATCTTTCCATCTATTTAGATATTCTTTGATTTTTCATCAGTTTTATAGTTTTCCTTGCATAGATCTTATGTGTCTTTTGTTTGATTTATGCTCAAGTATTTCTTTTTTATGCAAATATAAGCGGTGTTGTGTAATTTCAAATTCCCCTTGTTCATTGCTGGTTTATAGGAAAGCAGTTGACTTTTGTACATTAACCTTGTATCCTGTAACCTTGCTCTAATGGCTTGTTAGTTCCATGGGTGTTTTGGTCAGTTCTTTGAGATTTTTCACATAGATAATCATGGCATTTACGAACAAAGACAGTTTTATTTTTTCCTTTCCAACCTCTATACCTTTTATTTCCTTTTCTTGTCTTATTGCATTAGCTAGGTCTTCCATCATGGTGTGTGTTGAGTAGGAGTGGTGAGAAGAGACATCCTTGTCTTGATCTTAGTGGGAGAGCACCTAGTTTCTGACCATTAAGTATAATGTTAGCTGTAAGTTTTTTATAGATGCTCTTTATCAAGTTGAGGAAGTTCTCCTTTATTTGTAGTTTGCTGAGAGTTTTTATCATGAACAGGTGTTAGATTTTGTCAGATGCTTTTTCTGTGTCTGTTAATACTATCATATGATTTTTCTTCTTAGTTTTGTCTCTTTTTGCTTCAAAGAAATTAGCTCTTTGGCTCAGATCTTAACTCTCACTATTTGTCATTAGTTTTTAATTTTTATGAAGTCAAATGGTTTATTTTTGTTTTTGTCTTTCACGTTTTGTGTCATGCTTAAAGGCTTCCCACTCCAGCATTATGAGTAGAAATATTATCCACTTTTCTAATATTCTTATGATTTTTTTCATATTTACATCTTTGAGCTTATTTTATTTGGGGCAAAATATTAGGCAAGGAACAGGATTTTTTTCCTGATGGCTAGCATTTGTCCTAGTTGGATTAAATTTTTGATAGAAGGAGATAATAGAGAACTGAGAACCCAGACTAAAGAAACTACAGAAATGGCAGTAGTTAGGGTTCAGCAAAAAATCCAGTTTGATTTTAGTTAAAGCATATAAAAATATAGGAACGCAGTATTGGGAGACAGGACTGGAAACATGGTTGAGACCAGAACATGGAGAATAGTGGGTAGTCAGAAACAAGCAGTTAAGGCCTTTAGAATGGAGAGGGTCAAATGATGAGGACCATGTGTTACCAGAACTCATCTGAATGTAGAATGTGAAATGATTTTGGAGTAGGTGAATATTGAGGAGAAACAGGAGGAGACTTTTGTCTTCTGAGTGAGAGTATAGGAGTGAGAATAGCAAAGACAACTATATAGATATAGGTTTACAAAATAGGTTTGGAACTACACCCTGATTAACTTAGGATTTTGCTAGTACCATACTTTGAGAAGGGGTGGGGTTTTAAAAGGATAGGGCACCTAAATGAAGGAACTCACGAATTTGCTTTTGAACACATTGTGATTAAGTTACGAGTGGGTCAGTCGGGTGGAGTGAAGAAGTAGCATATGGAAATGTGGGATATATTTTGGGGGAAGAGGTCAGCCTAGAGATCTAATTTTGGGAGTCAGTTGCATAGAGAGTTGAAGCTTTAAGTAGATGAGACTCCAAAAAGAAAACAGAAAGAAACAGAGAGAAGGCAAAAATCGGAATCTTGTGAATATTTGGTTTTAAGAGTTTAGAGAAGGAAGAAGAATTGGTGAGGGAGAAAAGCCAAGGAACAAGAGTATTAAGACACACCCCTTTCCACATTTTTTTAATAGGAAATGGACCTTCAGGAATCTGCCTTTCTTATATGTTATCAGGTTACAGACCATATTTATCATCAGAAGCAATACATCCAAATACAATCTTACATAGTAAATTAGAAGAAGCAAGACATCTTTCCCTTGTTGATCAGGTATTATTTCTTACATGTCAGTCTTTTTACTTATTTCTTTTATACTCAAACAAGGTTGGTTTTCTGCTTGTAGAAACATTGTGTTTCTTAGTTGAAAATCCTTTCTTCTAAATAACACTTTCTATCATTTAAATTTTAAATTTGTAAATATGTTCTGCTGAGTAACTTCTATTTATTTTCCTGAATTCATTAGAGCAGAATTCCCTAAATTATTCCCTGATGGAGTTTTAATAGGTGCCCTATGCTCAAATAAGTTTGGGGAGTGCTTTTTATTGTTGGAGTGTCACGTAGAAATATTAAGGTATATTAGCATGTTAAAGGCATCTTCAAATTTTACATTAAAAGGATCTGATTAGCTTTGTTAAAACCCCAACCTTTTCTCATTTTTATTTGACCGAAGAATCTATTAAGATCTCAAGGAACATCAGTGCTCTAGAGCACACTATCTGAGAAATGCTGGATTAGAGTAATGGCCTTCAATATTATTATGATAGCTTTGTTGGTTTGTTTTTTTTCCAAACTCTATCTGCCTTTTTTCTTCCTTTTTTTAAAAAATTCATTCAGGACTTAGAATACTTGTCTGAGGGCCTTGAGGGCCGATCATCCAATCCAGTTGCAGTGCTTTTCGACACACTTCTTCATCCAGATGCTGACTTTGGGTATGATTATCCATCCGTTTTGCATTGGAAATTAGAACAACATCATTATATCCCTCACTTAGTTCTTGGTAAAGGTCCACCTGGTGGAGCTTGGCATGTGAGTATATTTTTCTTAGCATTTTAGCGTATATGTTGTATGTCATCTTGATAAGACCATTTTGATTCATGATATGTTATATATGATATTTACCATATTTTTATGTGAGAATTTTAATGCTGTTCAATTAAATATGGGTTAATCACTAATAGAAGTTAGGCCAGATTTGATTACTGATGGTCTTAGAATAAGTGTTTCTCTATAATATTTTATAAGAATTATATACAAAATATTTTAAGAATGTTTTGCGTAGTAAAAAATTTAAAATTTACTTACTCATTTTAGAGTTTACAAAATCTCACACAGTATTTCATACCAATATCCATTATTTTCCTACATTTTCAAGATCTTAAGTGAAAAATGTATTGTAAAAGAAAGAAGTTGTATTAGTCTGCTTGGGCTGCTATAACAAAATACCGTGGACTGAGTGGCTTAAAGAACAGATATTTATTTCTCACAGTTTGGAGGCTGGGAAGTCTAAGGTCAAGGTGCCAGCATATTCAGTTCATGGTTAGGGCTCTTGTCCTGGTTTGTAGACGGCTGCTTTCTTGCTGTGTCGTCACATGATGGAGAGAGTAGTATCTCTCTCTCTTCCTCATCTTGTAAAGCCACTAATCCTATCATGAGGGCAGCACCCTCATGACCTCATCTAGCTCTAATTACCTCTCAAAGGCCCTGTCTCCAAATACCATTACATTGGGGATTAGGGCTTCAGCCCATGGAGTTTTGGGGGTGACATAGTTCAGTTCATAGCAGAGGTGAAACCAGAGAACTGATAACATAAGATTCAGTGCATTTCATTAGGAAGCAGCAACTAACAATTATTCTTCATTCTTGTGTCCTTAGCAGTTAGTACAGTGTCTAGTGTGTAGTGAGTGCTCATTTGTTGTACAAATAAATGTTAAATAATTTTTGCTATATTTATAAAATAGACTTTGGGAATTTTAACATTAAATATCCAATCTTTGGTACAAACTTCACTTGGATATTCCTGTATTAGTGCATTGTTATATGTCTAAAAGTTGTTTACATTTAATTTTTTAAGTGACTGTTTCAGGGTATTTGGGGACTTTCTAGATTAAATATATCACTGATTCTTTTTAATCTTAATTCTCTTTATGGTAATAGGTAGCAACTACCCAATTATCTGTGCCTTTAAGTCTTTATATTTGCTCTATTAATGAGTAGCATTCTTAATAAAACTGTGGTTCCTGAAAAAGCCGTAATACGTTTCTAGACTATATTCTCTAAATTCCTGAGGTTTTATTTTACTTATATTTTTCTGCTTAGAAAAATTTGCAGGCAGTAATTGATTTCTGTGTTACTTCATTTCTTCCACTTATATATAGAGGGAAATTAAAGTATGGATAAGCTTTGATTATTAAAAACACATTTGAATCATCTCAAAGCTGAAATATACCTAAAACTTGCTGAATTTTTTTCATGCATCATCTATTATATCTACTAGAATAGGGATATAAATAAATGATGTTTGAGCTGTGATCCACTTGTCAAGCATCACTTCTATGAAGGTTTCTGACTTTCCCAGGCATAATTATTTGTTCCCACCTCTGCATTCTGTGCTTTGTTCTTAATCTTACAGTCCTACAGCTTGACTGTAGAGCTGTTTGTTTGTTTAGACAGCCATCTCTGCTGTGGTGCTTCAGATACATTTTAGTTAACCTTGGTTATTACTCAAGATGTAAGCTCCCTAAATCATTTTTCCTCTCATAGTCATCTCTCTATATTTCTCTGCTTCTCTTGTGATCCAATTTCTCACCACTCTCCACACTTCCCATCTTTCTCACTGTGCCCCTTGAACTCCATTTAGTAGTGAAACAGCTTTCCTACACTCTTCGTCATTTTGGTTATGTGCTGCTTCTACTTCTTTCCTTGAAAGCTTGCTCTTTCCTGAAGATACCACTCTCGCTGCAGCTCTCGGAAGTGGAGTCTGTTCATTCTCCCGTAGCCCATGTCCTGTCAGGTTGGCTAGTGAGGTTGGTGCTGTCTTCATTTCCTATTCCTTTTGTGTAGAAGTCCCTGTTCCTTTGAACAGGTCATGTCATTTTCCAGCTTCTCAACCATTCCAGAATGTCCCCATCAGTTATTGAATCTGTGGCACCTAACTCATGGTCTTCCATTATATCCCAAGTTTTATTATCACCTTGAATAACTTTACGTTTACATACATGACTCAGAACCAACACCATAACCTCTTAGTCTCTTCATTCTCAATGGTGTTCTCTGCCATTCCTCATTAGGTACTAACTCCAGTGGCTCCACTGTAGCCCTTATCTTTCATCACTACTCAACTGGTAAACACGTAAATTCTCAAATCTTGATGATCACAACTTTCTGTTCTTCCAGCTGCATCACCCAGTTGCTCACACTGTACCTGATCTTCAAACACAGAGAATGTTCCAGGCCTTGATCTTAACCTCCCTACCTATCCAGCTTACGTTCTGTAGTCCACTGACTTAACCATTCTCCTAATTCCCTTGATCCGTTGTGCTTCTATCACATGCGCTTAGCAAAAAAAGCAATTCATATAACTGTGCACTTTATCTTTTCCTATACTTGAGCTGTTAAAACATTACCAGAAAAAAAAAATCGTACAACTGTGAAAAGTGTTCTCCAACCTCAGTTGGGTCCTGAACACTACACTTAGTAATCCTCTACTAAGGTAGAGGATTAAGGTGTTGGTTCTGGGTCATGTACGTAAAGGTAAAGTTATTCAAGGCGAAAGCATTCAAAAGTTTACTGGAATAACTTTCGGAGGTAATTTACACAACCATTTAGGACTTCTTTGAGCTCTCCTTATGAAATCTTTTATAGTAAATGAGATGGGTTTGGCTAAGAAGAAAAAAATCCATGTTACTGCTTGAATGTGTTTTTTCATTGTGCATTTTTTGTTCAAATAGAATATGGAAGGCTCCATGTTGACAATCAGCTTTGGAAATTGGATGGAGCTGCCTGGACTTAAATTTAAAGATTGGGTGTCTAGCAAACGAAGGTAAAGATCAAACTATTAAAATTCTTTGGTGTAAAATGGGGAAGAATCAGTCAGCAAATTTCAAAGTATTTGTGATCCTGTCTTAGATGAATAATATAAATGTATGTGTATTTCAAATAAAACCTCTGCAACAGTGATTATGAGCTAGTTTCCATTTAGAGATCTTACAAAACTACGCATACAGAGGTAAGGGATTGTCTACAGATTGAGTTCCTTTGAATTCTTTGTTAATCATGACTTTTTCCCACTCTCCTGTTAAACCACTCTACGTTTAGCTGCTTTCTCATCCACCCACATATCCTTTCCACACTTACCTTATTTTGGTTAGTGGATATATAACGTCATGTATACATACTTGAAGTGTTTGACTTTCAGAGTAGAAGAGTGTATATGATTAATAATTTAGGATGATAGAATAAACTAGAATTTGGGTGATTGTCTCCTTGGGTATAAAGGTAAATATTTACTAAGAAATATGAAAGTAGGAGTAACTGAAAAGAAATCTCAACTTGGAAGAATACAAGTTTATTTTTTTTGGGAGAAAGAACACAAAATTTAAAAAGAGAAATATCAAAAGCTCCATTATTTTCAAGGATAGTAAATATTAAATTAGGAATTACTAACACAGAGAACCTACTCTAATTTGACTGCTCACAAAAACAGTAAGTTAAAGCAGGAAGTTAACATAACCTTTGTTAGAACAGAGCTGTAACATTTGAATGCTTACTTCATGCTAGGTTAGGTAGAAACCATGTTAATTCACAGAAATTATCCTTAATTTGAAAAGATTTAAGAAGAGCAAATTTACACCAGCCTGGATAATTGAGATTAAACCTTTCACATATTCCTTTTGGGTTTTTTAAAAAGGAATTTTATATGGGTTTGAAATGTAAAGTTGCAAAATCAGGCAAGTTGTGCAAGTTCTTGATTTTTATAAGTAAGCAAGCGAAATCGCTCAACATTCTTCCCTCTGTGATGTGGGTAGAAAGGGATTTATGATTTCTGTACCAGAAGTGTTCGCCTTTGTAAGTTGGGCCTATTGTGTATTGAAGTTATATTTGAAAATGAATCTTGTGACAAATATTAGCTTTAGTTCCTGCCTTTGTATAGTGTTAAGAGAAGACTCTTAGATCTCTAGAGATTGGCAGGGTTTGAATCCTGACTATATAACTTCTAATGTTGTGACCCTGGTCAAATAAATTATTGCTGTCAATTTCCTCGTTTATAAAATTGAGATAATAATAGTAGTAACTACTACATAGGGTTTCTATAAAAATTGAGAGTTAATACATTCTAAATCTTAATTATTATAACATTAAACTTTAAGAAGAAAAATTTTTATAAACTTCTTCCAAATACAAGTTACAATGAACTATGTGGAATGGTTTGGTATGTTTTTACTATTATTTATCTCTAATTGGGGCACAGTGTTTAGAGGTACTAATATCCATTGCTTTAAAGTTCAAGTAGAAAAGTACTAATGTACTTTTTTCATAAAGAGCAGATTATATTTATAGATCTCTTTATGAGTAGGAAAACACAGAAAGAAATGTCATATCTTATTTACTTAGACATAAGATGATTTTGTTCAGAAGACTGAATTATTTTTGGTCATTATGAAAACAGAAAGCAACTTACTAAATATTGTGTCAAGGTGGTATATGTTATCTTTAAGAAATATATGTATTAGTTAGACTTGCAATATCTCAACAATTGTAATCTAAATAATTCAGTCTAGTTATAGTATACAGACTGAATAGTATAGTTATAGATTGAGTTATTTAGATTATAATTGTGAGACAGACTATAAAATAGTCTAATTTTCAGATATCCACATTTTAATCCCTTCATTTATTTAATAAGTGTATTGATAAAGGCAGCTAATCTGAACAGATACTATGTCAAGGCACTGGGGAAACAAAGATGCATTAGATACAGTCTTACTCTCATGAGACTTCTTCTATTGATAAAACTAATTCATTAACATTTTTTTTAAAAAAAGAAAAGCTTTCTTTCTTTGTCAAGTATTAGGATAATTTCTAGCTTAGACAGTCCATGGGAATTAAAAAGATGAAGTAATAATCATAGGAACTGAAAGTACTATCCTGATAAGATATTTTTTCTTTTCCTTTTTTAGAAACCTAAAAGGGGATCGAGTTATGCCGGAGGAAATAGCTCGTTACTATAAACATTATGTAAAAGTCATGGGTCTTCAGAAGAATTTCAGAGAGAATACTTACATTACCTCTGTATCAAGACTCTACAGAGATCAAGATGATAATGATGGTCAAGACAGAAATATTTCAACACAGCATTTACAGCTAGAGAAGTCAAAATTTATCAAGAGAAACTGGGAAATCAGGGGTTATCAGCGAATAGCGGATGGTTCCCATGTTCCCTTCTGTCTCTTTGCTGAGAATGTAGCTCTGGCAACTGGAACATTGGATTCTCCTGCCCATCTGGAAATTGAAGGGGAAGATTTTCCTTTTGTGTTTCATTCAATGCCTGAATTTGGAGCTGCTATAAACAAAGGAAAGTTGCGTGGCATAGTGGATCCAGTGTTAATTGTAGGCTCTGGGCTTACTGCAGCTGATGCAGTACTGTGTGCTTACAACAATAATATCCCTGTGATTCATGTATTTCGCAGACGAGTAACTGATCCAAGCTTAATTTTCAAACAGCTTCCCAAAAAGCTTTATCCAGAATACCATAAAGTCTATCATATGATGTGTACTCAGTTATATTCTGTAGACTCAAATCTTTTATCTGATTATACCAGTTTTCCTGAGCACCATGTGCTTTCCTTTAAGTCGGATATGAAATGTATTCTTCAAAGCATCTCCGGATTGAAGAAAATATTTAAGCTCTCTGCAGCAGTAGTATTGATAGGTTCTCATCCCAATCTGTCTTTTCTGAAGGAGCAAGGGTGTTACCTGGGTCATAACTCAAGTCAGCCAATCACATGTAAGGGTAATCCTGTGGAAATAGATGCATATACCTATGAGTGTGTTAAAGAAGCCAATCTTTTTGCATTGGGTCCTTTGGTTGGAGATAATTTTGTTCGATTTTTAAAGGGAGGGGCATTGGGTGTTACACGCTGTTTAGCTACAAGACAGAAGAAAAAGCAGCATTTATTTGTTGAAAGAGGAGGAGGAGATGGGATAGCTTAAAGCACATTTACAAGTAATTTATATGGACAGTTTACCATTAAAGATTTTTAATAGTGGTTTTGCAGTGTACTGGCTTAAATTTTCTGCACTTGAATTAACTGGAGGACAGCCTCAAGCTATAGTAACTGTTTTTTAAAGTTACAAGAACTTGGTGTCCTGATATATATTGTAATGTCACGGAAGTGTCAGTATCAGACAAATAGAAACTGTGTATTTGGTATACTTTAAGCTTTCACTTAACTGAAACATTCTTTTCTTTCAAGACTTACTTTTTGTGATCATTTTTGGTTATGTTTGATTCTAAAATATTACAGCCTTGAATTATAAAATCACACAGTCATCAGGCCAGAAATTGTTCTCAGTATTTATTGGGTCGCCTTGCTGGTCAAAGGGTGATGCGGAGACCAGCATCAGCTTCATCTGTAGCCTGTTAGAAATGGAAACTCTCAGGCCCCAGAACAGACCGACTGAGTCAGAAACTGCATCTTAGTGAGATTCTCAAGGAATATGTACGCTCATTAAAGTTTGAGACACACTGGTCTAAAGACAATGGGATATAAGGTTGTGTATTCTGGGGGTGGGGTGGGGATAGGAGGCATTTATAACTCAGGTTTTATTTATTTTGAAATTACCAATTATATGTCTAATTTATTACCAAATATGGTCTTTTAAAAAAGTATTTTTATTGAAACCTTGACAGGTACTTCATATTCTTAGGTTCTAATAATTTAAACAGTCTAATAATGTTGGCATATACTTAAGACATCCAGGAACCTGCCAAGATATTTTTTTGAAGATTTATTCTCTAATTAACTAGCATAACAATCTAATTTGCAGTTCAGTAAATTGTGAAAGGAACTGCTTATCCCTGTGTGACCATTGAGTTCATTTCTGTCACTGAAACTAAGATATTTGGGCATAAGTACTTCTAATATTGTAATACTATTTGGGTGTTGCTAGACTTATTAAAGGTTAAAATTGAAAATAAGGTTAAAACCTGTCTTTTCCATTCCCAAGATGAGTACTTTGAAATTTATTCATTGGAGATGACATAGCAGCTCACCCTGTGGTTATTTATTGAATTATATGCTCTATCTTAATTTCTGCTTGTGTGCTTAGTGTCTGTATTTTTACACAAAACCCCTAAATTTTTAGTGTAAGACAAAAAAATGTTTCTTCTGAAGTTCTCCATGGCAAATTGAATTTCTCAGTCTTTTTTTTTTTTGGTAAAATTTACTTCATATGTGTTTATTGCATGTCTAATTATCCCATTTTTTCTTAGTATTAAAAAATGGACTAAAATATCAGTATTTTTCTGTCCATGTCATTGTGACATTATCTGCCTCCTGTCCTTCTACAACTAGCTCTTTCAGATGAATTAATGAATTCTTATACTCTTGATACCTGACATGTTGGATTAAGTTTAATTTGATTTTAGAAATATAATCCAGCTTTAGTTTAATGGTAACTTTTTTCCAAAGTAATTTCAGCCTACTGAAATGGTATAACATCCTCTGACAGCACTTGATCGAGCACTCGCTTGCTTGCCTGTTCTTGGGAGCTCTGAATGAGTTGGACTGGATGTTTTTCTTATTGTCACTTCTAAATTGAAAATGAGATTGTTATAAAGATGCTTTCCAGGGAAGGACAAGAACTGTTGACACCCGCTTTGTGTCTCAAAAATTTGCTCTTACCCAACCGATAGCATTTTTGTGATGAGATTATTCACCAAAAAAAAAAAAAAAAAAAGACTTCAGGGAAAATGAAGCTTCAGTAGGGCCCTAAATAAACCTAGTGAATAATGTCATCTTTGGTAACCTCCCGTTTCTCAGTTCTCCCACAAACCTAGCTGTCCTGTGTTGCGTATAACATTGAAGCTGTTTCTCTGTTGTACTATACTCTTGTAATCTTAAATTGATCAGTTTCTGTCCCATAATTCCAAATGTTAATTTTCTGTATCAAGTAGCTATTTAGGGAGGGGGGAAAGCACTAAATATTTGACCAGTTCGTCATACCATGATGTGGGCATCACTTTGCCCTCCCTCAAAAGTCTAGCCCTTGAAAGAATGTTTAAAAAGCAGAATATCTCTGGGGTTTTAAGAATAATATAATAAAAATAAGATTTAGTCACAGCTCTCAATGCTTTGGGCAGTCTGTGAACTTCATTCAACTTGGTTGAAAATTTAACAGGTTTTATCATATACATTTCCATGGAATCAAACTTTAGTTAACAGAGTAAAAAAATCAAACTGAAAGGTATTTTAAAATATTATGTTCTTGGGGCTGGCCTGTTCATAGTGGTTAAGTTCGTGAGCTCCACTTCAGCAGCCCGGGGTTTGTGGGTTTGGATCGTGGGTGCCGACCTACACACTGCTCATTAAGCCACGCTGTGGTGGCGTTCCGTATACAAAATAGAGGAAGATCTAAGGAAATGAATAGATGTATTATGCTGATGGATTAGAAGATTAATATTTTTAAGATGTCAATTCTTCCCAAATCAAGTTTTAGATTCAGTATAATCCCAATTAAAATCTGAGATTTTTTTGATAGAAATCGACATGCTTTGAGGACTTAGAGCACCTTATTTCCAGACTGAATAAACATTTTCAGTAATTCAAGACAGTGTGGTATGAGTGGAAGGACGGACAAACAGATTAATGTAACAGGGCACAGTGTAGAAACACACTGAGTTCATGTTTTTCAAAGTTGCCACAGTAATTTAGTGAGGAAATGACAGTCCTTTCAACCAATGGTACTAGACTAGATAGTCATATGGGTAATAAAATGGTGACCCATGCTTCACACCATACTCAAAAATTAGATCAGACATAAATACAAAAATATATAAAGTTTATAGGAGAAAACTATTTTTGAAATCTAGAATCAAATATTTTAGGATACTAAAACATCAAGAATAAAAGAAAAAATTGATAAATTTGACTTTATCAAAATTTAAAGCATCTCATCAAAAGACATCAATATGGAAACCAGTCAAATATGAAAATAAAATACAGGCTAGGAGAAATATTCTCAATACATATATCTGACAAAAGACTTGCATCCATAATATATAAAGAACTTCTATAACTCAATTATAGTTATCAGGGTAATACAAATTAAAACCAAAATGAGACATCATCACACACCCATTATAATGGTTAAAAAGGACAAACTGCCAATACCAATGTTTGCAGACAGGAACCACAAGAACTCTTGTACTGGTGTAGGTAGGGCAGTCTTCCTTAGAAAAGGACTGAGGGCATGACAGAGACCAATATTAATCTGTCCATTACATTCTTCACCTGAAAAATGGAGACCATATACATTCCATCAGCTTCATTGGCTAATTATGAAGCAAGACCATTACGAGACTCCAATGATTCCATTTCACCAATCAATAAGCCCCATCAATTCTACTTCTAAGGTATCCATGTTCTCCCCATTGTTGCTGACCACTATCATAATTTAAGTGTTCATAACCCCTTATACCATTTCAACAATCTCAATCTTTTTAAAATCTTAATCTTGATGCCTATACTAGAAATTGTAGATTGGCTCACCCCATTCCACTTCCTAGGGAGGCTGAGAATCTTAAAAACTACATTTCTTTGACTCCCTTGCAGCTAGACTCCCGTCTACAAGTAGGCAGAACTTGCAAGTAGGTTAATGAGGTTCTGCCACGTAGCTGGGCTCTCCCGAGATTGGCAAGTGCAAGTGAGGCAGGGCTAACTTCCTTTCCCTTTTGCTGTTTTTGCTTGCAGGGAGTCATGGAAAGATGTTTGCTCTGCAGCATGGTTCCATTCCTCATTCTCCAGACAACTGAGCAGCTGCAGTAATTCTTGACTTCAGCTTTCTGCTCCCTGGGTCACAGGTACATGGATGTATTCTTGAATACACAGCTTCAGTGAGGCCTGAGTTAGGAGCAACCTGAGTTAAGTCTGCTCTGAATTGTTCTGGGAGTTTTTCTTGAAGGCCCAGATGAGAACCTGCTACTAATCTAGCCATTTTAAGCACCTAATTCCCTGTATTAAATCCTTTCCTGCTGAAAATACAGAGTGGTTGCTGTTTACTTCAGTTCGAGTTCAGAATGGAAATGTCTCTAGCTTCAATTTCTATATATATCTGACACATAATTAACATACTGATTTAGAAATTCCCACTCAGAAATTGTTCACAGCTCTCCCAAGGCATACTGAACAAAATCCAGACCTCTTGGCCTGACAGTTCATGTCTTGCAGTTTACTAACAAAACCGATGCTCCATTTTAAAGAAGTGTCGTTCCCCTAGTTTGGGAGGCTGGCCTGTACAGTGACAGAGAGATCAGAGTGACATTCAATTCCATGGTTTAGAGCAGTAAAATACCTTCCAATAATTGTGCTCACCCCACATCATCCTCTCATAAACGGAAGTAGAGTGATGCAATAACATTATGCTCATAAATTCACAGTTGACAGCCTAACAAAAAGGGCAACAATGTTCAAAAGCAAATTACACAGGCAACCTTGTTAAACTTGAGGGAGAAGACTTGACCTAAGTCTCAACTTCCTTCAATCTCTTAGGAAGGAATTTGGATCATGATCATTCAGATAAACAGATATAGACTCACTAGTGTGACCCAACCACAAAGCTTCAGTTATGGAATTAGGAAGAAGTGTGGAAGGAAGACACTCCTGAGTAGAAAGAGAATTATGCTTGAAGAAAGGGAAGGGGGTATACCACGCCAAAAGTGCTGCTGGGGAATGAAAAATTGTGAGATTGTGGCTAAGGGCCAGGCCACCTCCTCCCTGCCATCAGAAAGCTGGGCTGATCCACATCTCCTAAAGCCCCAGGCTAGAAAATGGGGGCACAGTTCCCATTCATCTGACTAATGAAGAAAGGGAGTTGGCAAGTTATACCTCCCCCTTTCTCTCTCTCTTTTTTTTTTGTGAGGAAGATCAGCCCTGTACTAACATCTGCCAATCCTCCTCTTTTTTTTTGCTGAGGAAGACAGGCCCTGGGCTAACATCCGTGCCCATCTTCCTCCACTTTATATGGGATGCCGCCACAGCATGGCTTG